TGTAAATTTATGCAGGAGAGGTTGAGGAAGAGACAAATGGAGTGGAAGAGGCTAAGTATCCAGGATATGGAGGATACCCCGGAGGCGGATATAACGGTGGACGCCGCGGATACAACGGTGGGTACAACCGTGGGTACAACGGTGGACGTGGAGGATACAACGGTGGACGTGGAGGATACAACGGCAGAAGAGGGTATTGCCGCTATGGTTGCTGCGATAGAGGTTATCATGGGCGCGGAGGTTGCAGGCGCTGCTGCCACTATGCTGGTGAGACTGTTGATGCCCAAACCCAAGTCCAGACACATGACTAGAGCACCATAAATTATAAATAAGCGCTACAATGCATAGCTCGGTGTATATATATATGCACAGACGAATGGTTTAATGAAATATATAATGTGTGTTTAGTGTGTTAGTCTTTTGCTAACACAACTTTTGTGTAAGCACCGAGTAGTATTTGTAGCGCCAGAAGTGCTTAATAAGTTAATAAATAAAATTACGAGTATGGATATGTGATGGTAGTTTTGTAGTGTTGTATGCATGCTCTAAAATACTTCTTACTCCTTTTGTATATAAACTATGCAAATATATTAAAAACTAAGTAAGTATTGAATTAAAATCTTAAACAAAAACCCTAGAGAGACAAGAGAATGAGAGAGAGTCCAAACAGGTTCTGAAGAGCTCATTTCTTTTTTTTATTTATACTGAAAAATATTGAAGAATCTGTAAAGTGCACAAATTTTTCACAAATATGATATACAAACTAAATTAGAAAATGCCAACATATATATATATACACACACATACTCATATTACATACACACGCATCATGCTTTTGAAGCTTCAGCACGAAAGCCCAATGGAGAGATGAATGTTGGGATTGGGCCTAAATCTTATTCTTTCAGTATTTCAAATTTATTTCGATTAACAACTACATAATAAAACTTTTCGTCTTAAGCTTCTGTTATTATCTTAAGTTTTTCAAAATAAAAGAGATATTTAAATTAAAGTGACAGCCGAACTGAGTATTTAAATATTTGATTTTGATTTTTTTCAAATAGTGTTAAGTTCAGGTTTTGCTTGAAGTTTGATTAATTATCTTAAAGGCTCAAACTTAATTTGCTTGCAAAGAGTTTCAACTTGAAAAAATTCAAATTATATAAAATTTATTTGGATAAATTCGATAAATAATATCCTATTTACTTATTTTTGTTTAATTTTTATGAAAATATTTTTTATATTATCAAATACGTACTCAAAAAAATATATAAAAATATTAACTTATTAAGGATTCAAAACTTATAAAAGTAAAAGATTTTTTTTTTTTATAAGACTTAATATTCTAAGAGAATCAATACTATTATATGGATCAAAAGTAATTTTACTTATAATAGTCATAATACTAGAATTTAACAAAATTGATTTTTCGAAAGTACTTATTGATTTTGCTCCAGGTGGAGTAAACTTATCTTACATTCATTCCCGAGCCTCCGAAATCTTAACAGTTCTGAAGAGAACTTTCTACGCTAGTTTTATTTTATTCAATTAAAATTAAACTACTTTGTTCACTAAAGTATTTTATCTGGGAGATGTTTTTATCTTTCTTTTTGGTATAATTCACTTTTAATTTAACATTGAAGAGAGTAATGTTGTTACTTACGCAATTCTAAGTAACCAAAATTCAGGGATGATCACTTTAAGAAATGTTATTTTTGCCTCAAAACCACTAATATAGCCTAATGTTACTGTCAAGGCATACAATTGGACAAACATGTTGTGCAAGAACTTCATTCATGAAAATAAACTTTTAATACCTCAGAAAAAATATTATCTTATATATAATATATGTTTGTGATTTTCTTATAATTTATGAATTGTCAAAAATCATGCAATGAAAGTAATGAGTGAAGACAACAGAAATGCATGAACAAATATTATATATGGAATAGATTTAATATATTTTATAAAATTATTGGATGACTCAATCATTTTAAAATTTAAATATAATTTATTGATTGATTCAATTTATTATTTATATTATATAATCGTAGCCCAAAATATGTATTTGGGTATGTACAAGAGGTTGAGGGAGAGATGAAAGGAGATAAATAGGGATATATATACACACACACACACGTGTGTGTATATATAATCAAGAAGAAAAAAATTAGTTTATTCCATTAGGACAAAAGTTTAAGTGGATCAAAAAACTATATTCCACCATTTTCTCACACAATTAGATTATCACTTATAATAATTTTAATTTATTTGTTTAATAGATTTCGGCTCCTTCACTTCCCTTCCTCCCATGGAGTTGAGTTCAACTAATTGGTGAATCCAAGTCCAAACTTAACTATATCTTACTAATGGATAGTCCATATATATATACATATATATATATGTATATGTATATGTATACGCACGGGCTGTACAATACAGATTTCAGTTGAATGATTATGCATGCGTCACACATGACGTTTGTTTTAAATGTTATTTGCATGTATGTATGTGATTTTTAACTAACCAAAAATCAAAATTATTCCTTGATAATTTTTAAAACTCTGAACATCTACCTCGAAAATTAGTACATCTTATACTAGAAATATCGTACTTTATGACATATATATATATATATACATGAAGATATACACTTAAATCCATGTGGATATAGAATGGACACATGCATGGACTCTAACATAAATGCTACGACTTGTTCAATGCGATAGCTACAATTATTCATGTACTTTCAAAATTAATTAATAGCAAGTAATTTTTTTATAAATTAAATAATTAATTTAAATTAAAGCGATCGATTATCGGAAACGAATCTATCATATCTTCAACTTCAATCTAATCCACACAAGTAATATTTTCAACCCAACTCCAATCATACATTATTTTCTTTTCTCTTTTTTATTAATTTAGTTAATATTAAAATTTTATATACGATTAAGATAAATGTTAATTAGTGTATTTTATTTTAATTTTGAAGATTCAATTCGATTTATAATTGTCAATAAAATAAATAAATTTTGATTCTCAATTCAATTATCAATTTAACAATTATTTTAAATTTTTATATGATAATTAATCATATGATTAGTTATTTAAAATGATATTAAATGCCCAAAATTTTATTAAAAATTAATTTTCCCAAATAATTGAGCTTTTTAGTTAATTTACGACTGCTTCCGTTTATTTTATTTTTATTTTTTTTTATTTTTTTGGAAGCAGAAAATATTGACTTTTTCTCATCTTACAAGTCTCTTCCCAATCACATACGCAATAAATAAAGCTCAGAGCAACTCCCCACAATTACTGCTTCTTTTATTTTCACCACTTGAAAAATAAGTAAATTCATAGTAAGAAGAAAATGTTGAATTTTCCTTTTTTTTCATTAAATCAATTAATGTAAGATGTACGTCTTGATAACTCTTCAACAGCCACCTACTGTTGCGGGCCATCATATGTATATATTTGCGCTGAAAATGTATCTCCTTCTTCCCCCTATAAATACACACAGCCAACCATTACTTGTCATCACATCCTTCATACTAAGTAGAGCCAGTGTCGAGTTGCAGCAACCAAAAACCATGGCATCGAAGATTTTCCTTCTCCTAGGCCTTTCATTGGCCATACTTCTTCTCATCTCCTCCGAGGTGGCTGCAAGAGACCTCGCCGAGACGGAGACCCAGCAGGAACATGGTCAGCTTTACCTTCTTCATTCTGACAATCACTCTTTACTACTTTATTAATCACATGCAATGTAGTTACTAACACTACATATCTATACGAATAATGATCATATGCATATACTGCGTGTAAATTTATGCAGGAGAGGTTGAGGAAGAGACAAATGGAGTGGAAGAGGCTAAGTATCCAGGATATGGAGGATACCCTGGAGGCGGCGGATACAACGGTGGGTACAACGGTGGACGTGGAGGATACAACGGCAGAAGAGGGTATTGCCGCTATGGTTGCTGCGATAGAGGTTATCATGGGCGCGGAGGTTGCAGGCGCTGCTGCCACTATGCTGGTGAGACTGTTGATGCCCAAACCCAAGTCCAGACACATGACTAGAGCACCATAAATTATAAATAAGCGCTACAATGCATAGCTCGGTGTATATATATATGCACAGACGAATGGTTTAATGAAATATATAATGTGTGTTTAGTGTGTTAGTCTTTTGCTAACACAACTTTTGTGCAAGCACCGATTAGTATTTGTAGCGCCAGAAGTGCTTAATAAGTTAATAAATAAAATTACGAGTATGGATATGTGATGGTAGTTTTGTAGTGTTGTATGCATGCTCTAAAATACTTTTTACTCATTTTGTATATAAACTATGCAAATATATTAAAAACTAAGTAAGTATTGAATTAAAATCTTAAACAAAAACCCTAGAGAGACAAGAGAATGAGAGAGAGTCCAAACAGGTTCTGAAGAGCTCATTTCTTTTTTTTATTTATACTGAAAAATATTGAAGAATCTGTAGAGTGCACAAATTTTTCACAAATATGATATACAAACTAAATTGGAAAATGCCAACATATATATATATACACACACACATACTCATATTACATACACACGCATCATGCTTTTGAAGCTTCAGCACGAAAGCCCAATGGAGAGATGAATGTTGGGATTGGGCCTAAATCTTATTCTTTCTGTATTTCAAATTTATTTCGATTAACAACTACATAATAAAACTTTCCGTCTTAATCTTCTGTTATTATCTTAAATTTTTCAAAATAAAAGAGATATTTAAATTAAAGTGACAGCCGAACTGAGTATTTAAATATTTGATTTTGATTTTTTTCAAATAGTGTTAAGTTCAGGTTTTGCTTGAAGTTTGATTAATTATCTTAAAAACTCAAACTTAATTTGCTTGAAAAGAGTTTCAACTTGAAAAAATTCAAATTATATAAAATTTATTTGGATAAATTCGATAAATAATATCCTATTTACTTATTTTTGTTTAATTTTTATGAAAATATTTTTTATATTATCAAATACGTACTCAAAAAAATATATAAAAATATTAACTTATTAAGGATTCAAAACTTATAAAAGTAAAAGATTTTTTTTTTTTATAAGACTTAATATTCTAAGAGAATCAATACTATTATATGGATCAAAAGTAATTTTACTTATAATAGTCATAATACTAGAATTTAACAAAATTGATTTTTCGAAAGTACTTATTGATTTTGCTCCAGGTGGAGTAAACTTATCTTACATTCATTCCCGAGCCTCCGAAATCTTAACAGTTCTGAAGAGAACTTTCTACGCTAGTTTTATTTTATTCAATTAAAATTAAACTACTTTGTTCACTAAAGTATTTTATCTGGGAGATGTTTTTATCTTTCTTTTTGGTATAATTCACTTTTAATTTAACATTGAAGAGAGTAATGTTGTTACTTACGCAATTCTAAGTAACCAAAATTCAGGGATGATCACTTTAAGAAATGTTATTTTTGCCTCAAAACCACTAATATAGCCTAATGTTACTGTCAAGGCATACAATTGGACAAACATGTTGTGCAAGAACTTCATTCATGAAAATAAACTTTTAATACCTCAGAAAAAATATTATCTTATATATAATATATGTTTGTGATTTTCTTATAATTTATGAATTGTCAAAAATCATGCAATGAAAGTAATGAGTGAAGACAACAGAAATGCATGAACAAATATTATATATGGAATAGATTTAATATATTTTATAAAATTATTGGATGACTCAATCATTTTAAAATTTAAATATAATTTATTGATTGATTCAATTTATTATTTATATTATATAATCGTAGCCCAAAATATGTATTTGGGTATGTACAAGAGGTTGAGGGAGAGATGAAAGGAGATAAATAGGGATATATATACACACACACACACGTGTGTGTATATATAATCAAGAAGAAAAAAATTAGTTTATTCCATTAGGACAAAAGTTTAAGTGGATCAAAAAACTATATTCCACCATTTTCTCACACAATTAGATTATCACTTATAATAATTTTAATTTATTTGTTTAATAGATTTCGGCTCCTTCACTTCCCTTCCTCCCATGGAGTTGAGTTCAACTAATTGGTGAATCCAAGTCCAAACTTAACTACATCTTATTAATGGATCGTGCATATATATACATATATATATATATATATGTATGTATATGCACGGGCTGTACAATACCGATTTCGGGTTAATGATTATGCATGCGTCACACATGACGTTTCTTTTAAATATTATTTGCATGTATATATATTATTTTTATTAACCAAAAGATATAAAATTATTCCCGGACAGTTTTCAAAACTCTAACATATGCCTCCAAAATTAGCACGTCTTTTATAGGAAATAGACGTATTTTATACAATATAAATATATATACACACATATACATTTAAATCCATGTGGTTGTATAGTTGACACATGCATGGACTCTTACAAAATGAACGAGTGGTATCAAATGTTAGGGCTTGTTCTTCTAAAGCTTGGTCAATGTGATAGCTACATTTATTTATGTATTTTCAAAATTAATTAATAGCTGATAATTTTTTTATAAATTAAATAAGTTATTTATATTAAGACGATTCACTATCAGAATGAATGTGTTAAATCTTCAACTTCAATCTAATCTATACAAACAATATTTTCAACCTAATTCCAATCTTATATTAAATTTTTATATGAATAAGTTAAATATTGATTAGTGAATTTTATTTTAATTTTGAAGATTCAGTTTCATTTATGATTTTCAATAAAATAAATAATTTATTTTTTACAAGAAAAGACAAAAGTCAAAAGAAAATTTAGAAATCGTCGTGCACATCCTAAGTCAAAATATACTCATAATATCGTCAGTGAAAAACAATTGGTATATGTACATATATATATATGTACATATACATTTAAATCCATGTGGGTATAGAATGGACACATGCATGGACTCTAACATAGTGAACAAATCGTATTAAATGCTAGAGCATGTTCTTCTGAAGGTTGGTCAATGCGATCGCTATAATTATTCAAGTACTTTCAAAACTAATTAATGGCAGGTAATTTTCTTATAAATTAAACAAGTGATTTAGATTAAAACAATCCACTATTGGGACGAACATGTCAAATCTTCAACTTCAATCTAATCCACACAAGCAATATTTTCAACACAACTCCAATCATACATTATTTTCCTTTTTCTTTTTAATAAATTTAGGTAATATTAAAATTTTTATACGATTAAGGTAAATATTGATTAGTGAATTTTATTTTAATTTTGAAGATTCAATTTGATTTATGATTTTCAATAAAAATAAATAAATTTTGATTCTTAATTCAATTATCAATTTAACAATTATTCTAAATTTTTATGATAATTAATCATATAATTAGTTATTTAAAATGATATTAAATGCCCAAAATTTGAAACTCATAATTTATCAAATATTGCACAAATTTTTAATTTAAAAATAAAAAAATAGATATAGCAATCCAAGCACTTGAAAACTAAGTAAATTCATAGGATATTAAACCAAATTATCAATAGTAACAAGTAAATATTAAATTTCTCTTCTTCTTTTTTTGGTACAATGAGAGACAAAAGCTAAAAAAAAAATTAAAAAATCGTCGTGCACATCCTGGTCCAAGAGACACCCATGATATCGTCAGTAAGAAGTTGTTGAAGATCATTCGACATTTGAACATAAGAATGGACGCTCATCGGTAGAGAGAAGCCAACATTCGTCAACCAGTCAGCGTATTTATTACATTCGCGATAGACATATTTGATCCAGATATGTCAATCCTGTAGTAGTAAGTGTTTGATCTCACGAACGAGGGCGTCATGTGCAGTAGTACTATAATCCTCCTTAGTCAGTAACTGCACCTCCAAAGTGTTATCCATTTCCAAAATGATACTACAGAACCCGGCATTGCAAGCGAGTTAAACACCATCCAAGGCACCCCAAAGCTCGGCCTGAAGAACAGAGCATCTGCCAATTTTCTTGCTGAAGCTTCTCAGGCAAACATCATCTTCATCTCTAATAAGTCAGCCACAGCAGACAACATTGGTTGCAGCACAATAAGCACCATCAGTGTTCACTTTCAACCAACTCCTAGGTGGTTTCTTTCAAGCTACAAGTTATTCCGACCTGTGCACCATATCTGAAAGAAAATAAAAATTCATATTATTAGCCATAAAAGTGTAATCAATCATGAGGGACACATCCTTAGCAAGCCCATCGATACTGCTCTCACTCTCTTGAAAAATAAATTTATTTATATAGTTCCACAAGTTTCAACAAGTAAGGTTAAGTATCACTCTCCAATCCTAAAATATCTTACATCAAGGCTAATTATTTTTTAGGTTCAGCACGAACCACTCAACTAAAATACTACTGAAGAAAGTTGATTGGGTTTCAGCAGGTATGATTTTCAACCACAGCAGCTTGGCCACACTTGCAATTACAAAGAATATGATCCACATCCTTAATAAGGTCATCACACTTACTACATTCTGCAGTAGAGGACATGTGACATCGGTATCTCTTCCAATTCATCAAAAGCTTCCCCTTAGCAGCCAAATAGAGGAACGTACGCACCCGTTGAGCATCTGACCAATGCTAAATGTCTCTCCAATTTCTATCCTCTGGGTGTCAATGATCGCTCTCCAGGAGGGCATAAGCTGAGCTAACCGAGAAGCACCTAGAGCTCGTCATACCTCAAAAGTAAGGGTCTAGAATATTGTCATTTTTAGGAGTCAGTACCACTTCCATCTAGAACATTGTAACCATCAACAACACTCGGTTCAGAGCCTCCCAATCCTATTGGCCAGACGATACCACGTAATCCCAGACACATCTATGGAGATCTTGCTCATCAATTGGTGTGAAAGTCAAAAGTTTAAGCGGCCTCATGTCCCCCAACCAGTAGTATTCTCAAAATCTAACATTTCTCTCAAACCAA